CAATTGATATTTATCTATTAATAACAAGAGGTCATTTTCATGGGGGAGTTTGACATACTTTTAAAAGATCTTTTAAGTGAAAGTTATTGTAAAAAAAAATGACTTCAATTTATAAATATACAAATTGTTGATCTCTCCTTTAACAAGAAGGAGAAATATGGCATGATGGTAGATGAAGAGGAGTGATGGGAGACGAAAAGGAGTGATGAGAAGATGAAGAGGGGTGATGGGAGACGAAAAGGAGTGATGAAAAGATGAAGAGGAGTGATGGGGACGAAAAAGAATGATGGGAGACGAAAAGAAGTGATGGGAGACGAAAAGGAGCGATAGGAGACAGATGGGAGACGAAGAGGAGTGATGGGATATGAAAAGGAGTGATGAGAAGATAAAGAGGTGTGATGGGAGATAAAGAGGCGTGATGGGAGATGAAAAGGAGTGATGAGAAGATGAAGAGGAGTATTGGGGATGAAAAGGAGTGATGGGGGATGAAAGGAATGATGGGAGACGAAAAGGAGTGATAGGAGACGAAAAGGAGTGATGGGAGACAAAAAAGAGTGATGAGAAGATAAAGAGGCATGATGGGAGACGAAAAGAAGTGATGGGAAGATGAAGAGGAGTGATGGGAGACGAAAAGGAGCGATGAGAGACAAAAAGAAATGATGGGAATTAAACAGGAGAGAAAGAGATAATGGAAAATGAAAAGATGTAATAGAAATTAATGGGAGATGAATAGTATAGAATAATGAAAAGTAATAGGAGGTGAAAAATGATGAGAGACAAAAAATAAAAAAATGATTATGATAGGAGGTTGGATAGTAATGATAGGAAACCAAGTAAAAAAAATAAATAAACAATAAAAAATATACCTTTATTAATTATAGAATCAAAAAAACTGAAAGATATAAAAAAAAATAAAAAAATAAGTAAAAAACAAAACGTAAAGTGAAAACAACTGAACCGTAATTGCAGAACTTGAAGGACTAAAGGATCTAAAAAATAAAAAATAATGAAATAGTGATAGTAAGAAACAAAGTGCATGAAACCCATTTTTTTTATAAAATTATTTATTAGAATTATGAATTTTATGTCATGTATAATGGTCTTAATCATGGTGGGTATTATTTTTGAAAGTATTGTATGCAGTTGCAAATGGTATTTTTATTTAATGACAGTCTGACAAAATGAACATACATAATACATGCAGGTTTGTATTATTAGAAATTTTATATTTAGAAGCAAAAAACATAAATAAGTAGTACCTTTTAAATAAATTGAAATGAATTTAAAAACCTTTATAAAACAACTTTTTTGGTTAGAAATGTAATTCTTGAAATTTTCATAGCGGATTTTATACCAGTGACATAATCATTAATTACTTAGGATACAGAGATATTGCGCAAGTTTCCCATTTTCCTTCAGTGTGTTTTTTTGTAACTTTCTGTAATTCAAAAAATGTAGTGATTTCAACAGTTAAAAAGGAAATAATATTTTAAATTTATTTTCTTAAACTATATATTTTGTTAATCCATTGACAAATCCTTCAACTTACTCATTTGACTATATATGACACAACAAATGATATTGTAGAAGGTATTTTATTATTATCATTATTATTTATTATTTATTATTATGTGATTAATAATTATCTAAATCCATTTTTTATTATGATAATCATGATAAAAATATCAATATTTATTATGGCAATTAAATCATGATAAAACAATCAAATTTTTGTTCAATTTTTCTTTTATTACAATATAATAATTAAATATTTATCTAGATCTATTTTTATTGTGATAATTAAGAATCTTTTAATGATTTTAAACAATTAATTTTTTATTATGATAATCACGAATATTTTAATGATTTTAAACAAATTAATTAAATTTTTGTTCAATCATAATGTAAAAAAAAAAAAAAATAATATTGTTAAATTAATAAATTATCAATAATTTTAAATTTAGTTAAATTATCTATCAATATTTAATATTTTATTTATATTATCTAGTTTTTATGATTTTCTTGTCATAAAAAAATGATACAATATAAATTTAACTTTATGATGGTTGGTGTAACGTGTACCAGCGAAACTATTGGTCCATTGATTGATCGGCTAATCACTTCTTAAGTAGACTAACGTTAAACAACAAACGTCGGGATTCCTTTTTTGGATGTTGATCATCATTTAGTCATGCTTACTTAATACATTTAAAAATTCAAACGGTTTCCCCCATAAAAACGAAATGTTTTATATTTGTGTTCGTGTGTAAGAAACGTCTAAAAAAGCACATTTATGTCTTATTATAAAAAAAACAAAATTAAGATTTTTTAGACATTTATTACATTTATTACACATGAGCATTACCGCTTGCCTTAATGGTAATTAACCAAATAAGGTATTATATATTATCTGATTAACAACTGGAAATTTAATTAATAAAATAATAAATATATTTAATAAAAATTGATAACCACAAAATAATGTACTTTGTTTTGCGATTATATAAGTATATTATTAATTATTAGTCAGAAATTCCCGTTTTTTTAAATGTTTACTTGTTTATATTTAGACAGATTTTTTTTTCTTTATTCATTATTATTAAAAATCATCATTTTTCAAATATTAATTTTTTTCACTTTTTATTTGTTCCCTTTCTTAATTTGTGTTAATTTCGTTTCATCATTATCCTTTATGATGAAATGTTTAATAATTACTCCAATAATAAAAAAATATTTCTGCTAGTTTATCACATGCGTCTCAACTAAAATAATAAAGCCAATGCATCAATTACATTATTACATCTAAATTTAAAACGGACTTTCCATAATAATTCTAAAATCCCATGAGACGATCAAGGAATAATTCCGTATCACTAACAGAAGGTTGGTCGTACAAAATTATTTTTCGCCAATAATTAAAAGATAATTCTGCTAGTTGATCATATGCTTCTCAACTAATCAAGTAAAATAATAAAGCCGATACATCAATTACATATCATTATGCATATTTGCTCTTCGATAGAGTAGTACTTTTAAATTTAAAACGGGCTTTCTAAAATTCCAAATGGAAAGTTATTTAATAATGTATCATTCTGATATGTATATAAAAACTTCCAAATTCTTATCGTTATTGTTACATTTATTAATTAATATAACAAAATGGAGCCTGTAAATACAATAGACGAAAATTCTTTTGACCCAACACCAAGATTAAAATCTAGTCCTATACCGATTAAATTTATTTCTTTTAATGAGGGTGATGAAAATTGTATCTGTTGTGGAGAAAAATACATTCAACCACTTCTAAGTTATAACCAAAAATAATGTAAAAAATGTTTATCAAGTTATATTAACGATACAACTGATTATAATATGTATTTGGACGTATTAGTAGACTTAGAATGTAGTGATCATGAAATAAATAAGACAAAAGTACCACAAAGTATTCAAGAATGCTGTGGAGACTTGAAAATTTTATCATTTAAACAAATATTAGACGATCATTCAACTTTTGGCAGTAAATATGATAAAGTGTATAAAAGTGAAAAATATTGTAAATTATGTGGGAAATCATTATTACATCGAGAAACATATATTACAAAAGAATTAATATTTTGTTCAGATTGTTATTTAATTTTTACTGAACGTATAGAATCATCTTTGGTTAAAAAAGAAATTTCAATTTTTTACATACCACGGTGGCATACTGCTTATAAGTGTGATGCCTGTTATTCAACATTAATATTTACATCAGACTGTCAAAAGTATTGTTCAAATTGTTATATATTTTATGTTGGATGCAGATATTGTTTAACAACAAATATTATTTTTGGTCCTACAGGTCAAACTCAATGTAAAAAATGTAAAAGAATATCATTTATCAGTTGTCTAGATGATTCTCTTTTAAATAATATTATTTTATGTGATAACTTAGCTAAGTTTGAAAATATTGTAAATAAACTTGATAAATATTATATGCATGTGGACATATTAGATGCTTTGTTTGGAAAAAATATTATAATACCAATTAGGTGGATACCATATTCTCAATTTAAAGATGTAAAAGAAATGACAAAAGGAGGATATGGTATTATATATAAAGCAACTTGGTTAAGTAATAATGAAACAGTCATTTTAAAAAGATTTGAAAATTCTAAAAATAATAATAAATATTTCTTAAATGAGGTGAATTACTACTTTTACATATTTTCTTGAATAATTTTTATTAACTTAATTTAATATTTGATTTTTTAATTAAACTTTTTAAATTTAATAGTTAAAATCAAGTCAGCATTGTTATAGTAGAAATTTTCATAATCATATAATTAAAATTTATGGCTTTACAAAAGATCCTGAATTAGGGGATTATGTATTAGTTATGAAATATGCAACAGAAGGAGATTTACATAAATATTTACAAAAGGAATTTACAAATATTACATGGAATTATCAAAAACTACGTATATTGTGGCAAATTTCAGAGGGGTATGTATATTTTAAAATGTATTCATTATATTCTTAATTTAAGTTACTATATTAACTTTTTTTATTTAGACTTGAACATATTCATAAAAATAAATTCATACATCGAGATTTTCATAGCGGAAATATGTTATTTGATTTAAATATCAGTGCAGGTAAAAATTATCAATGGAAAATTGGGGATCTAGGATTATCACAAGAAATAAATAATGAATCATCAAATAATGAGATATATGGAATTATACCTTAAATTGCACCGGAAATATTTAAGGGGTCTTCATTTTCTAAAAAAACTGATATCTATAGTTTGGGTATGGTTATGTGGGAACTTACAACAGGTTGTAAACCTTTTGATAATGTTAAACATGATCATAATCTTATTTATAACATTCTTGATGGTGAACGACCCAAAATTACAGAAGATACACCAGAATGTTATGCTAATTTAATGAAAAGTTGTTGGAATCCTGATCCAACAAAAAGACCTTCTATAAAAGATATTCGTTTAACTTTTGGTAGATGGACTTTTAAAAGTAAAAATAAAGCAGAATTTATTCAAGCTGAAACAAAAAGAATGGAACTTATACAATCAAAGAAGCTTGGACCAGAATTTGCTGAAAAACGACATTCAGAAGCCATTTATATAAGTAGGCCACTAAGCGCTTTAATTTCTAAATGTTTATCCACAAATTCATCATCAATTTCAATTGGTAATAAAAAAGGTAAAAAAATATTTATTGTAAATAAAAATACTACTTAATCTTAAAAGTTAAAACACACGTTATCTTCATTAGATTCTAATTATATTTATGTTTCGGAAGAACAAGAGTTTGATATAGACATTGAAAGGTATTTTCATTGTAAATGGTAGTACGATGTTTACTAATTAATTAATTGACACTAATTTATTATTTAGTTCATCATCACAAAATTTAAGTTTAAAAATTCAAAGTACTTCAAGCTCTTTTAAAAAGCGAAACATTGAAGAATTAAATCTTGAAACCGATGACAATAGTGGTAAATATCAATCTTTGTCGGTGTATATTTTGATTTTTTGTATGTATATTTTATTTTAACCAAATCTAAAATTTTTAAAGTAGGAAAACGTATTAAAACTAGTTAAATTAATTATTGAATTTCGGTTATTACCCCAGAAGCTGAATAATCGTCGTAGAAAACAATTGTTTGTATTTGTAAATGAGTATATCCTTACTCGCGGTACAGTCATGTGCATTTTACTGCGGAATCTGCGGATTTTGTAGATATCTCTCAGTCCGGCAAAATTGTAGATTAGATTTAATAACAGGTAATACAGGTCAAATATCAGACACGGTGTAACATTTTGTCAATCCATGCTTGATTTTTCACCCGCCCAATGCCTGATAGTTTAGTCCAACTCGGCTTGCCATAGTTTTTTCATTTAATTGTTAAACATTAGAATGTTGCCATGTTGTCAAAAAAAAATACTACAAAATATTTTTATTAATTAAATTATAAAATATTTTATAATTATTTCTTATTATTTTATATTACGTCAATCTTAAACTTATAACCAACTTGGGAAAAGTATTTGAACGATTAAATGTATTAGAATTTGTTCATTTCATTTATTATTATTCTTTTGATACTCATTTTACTTGAATAAATTATTAATTTAACTAAATCATTTGAATTAAAATCTTTATTCAAAAATCTGGTGATTATTTAGAGAATTCTGGATATGGATTCAGTTATAATAGTCTATTATTAAATCAACAATTTCTTTAATTAATTAATTATAAAATATTGTAAAAATATTAATTTTTTTTGATTTTTATGAATTTGAAAATCAAACTATTTATCCAGCGTTCAATTTAATTGAAAAAAAATCTTAATTATCTTATCAACTAGGGTAATTAAGTACAAGTTAGTGAGCTTTTAAACATTATAATTTATTTAACTATCCCTTAAATTGTAAGGGTTAAAATTAATTTTAATAATCTTTGAAGTTTTAAGAGTTCACATTATTACATTATTAAATTCATTGCAGAAACATCATATTTTTAAACAACGTTGTACTACGCCAAAATCACGTGTTAAGCCGTTGTTTTATTGAACGTCATACGACGCATTGTAAAAGTGAGAAAATGTATCGCCACTATGCTTTTTTAATTTACTGCAACAACGAATTCACTATACCCATTTCACTATTGCGAATATACAGTCAATATACAATTATTTATTTACAACGTTGTAAACATACTTTAATTATATATATTTAATAAAATAAATAATGCTATATTACATTGCAACACTAACTATACATTATTAAGTATTAATATAATTCTATTTATACATCAGAATGTAACATCTTACATACATTCCGTCCAAACTAATCTGCATTCAAAGCCTAAATTTAACGTTAGCGAGTGAATTCTACAAAAATTAAAATAGTTAACATTTTTTTTAAAATAGATTTTGAAAATTTTTGAAAACTTAGCCGAATTTGGTGAAACTTTATTAATAATTTGCTAATCAGAGAAGCGGATCCTAGACCTTGCTCTCGCATTTTCTTTTAATATGAACGGCAGCCAACAAGCCTTTTAGTGTTTTAATCAAACAATTAGGACTCTATTAATAAGATTTCTGAACCGTTTTAGGTATAGTCGGAAGTAAACATTCAATTTGTTTAAAAAAGATTATTAAACCCCTTTTTTTCTAATATAATAAAAATTATTTTTAGATAGCTGTATTGTATAATTTAAATTATTAAAGTTTGTACAGGTTTTCTTTTTTGAAATTGTTTTTCTCAAGAAAATTTTTAATGTCGTAGTAATCTTAAAACGTCATTTAAATTAGAATATACGGTAAAAATGGACGATTTTGTGGTCATGTATTTATGATGTTTTGGTATTAACATACTGTATATCCCCTTAATCCTTAAAAATGTTTCGAATTAGATTTTTCTTTTTTTTTTTAATCCTGCGCAATGCGTAAAAATGATTTTTTTTGAACATATTTTAGTAAATTTTCTCACATAAATTACCATTTAAAAAATTTTCAGTAATAAATATTAAATATTTATAAGAATTTTTATTAAAACGCAATAACTTTATATTAGTTCTTATTAATCTTATCTGCAACCGGAACAATAAAAGGACACTTCAATAATAGAAGTTTTTTAATTGCTTCAAAAATAATAATAATGAAATTTCGTTATTTAATGTTAAAATTTGAAAAGTGAAATGGGAATCAACGAAAAATTTACTAATTCACATTATCAAAATGATTGACTTACGCAGTTTAGTCCCATCTAATTTCAAATTTATAAGACCAAATTTTATGATCAATGACTTGATGTATTTACGCCATTACGCCGATTTTTTTTTTTTAATTAATTTAAATTTGTATTGGTTTTCCTTTTTTTTTCAATAAAGGTATTTAAAAAAAAGCATCCTTTGATTTTGCCTCGTTACATTCCAGCATGATCCCCTATATCAAATAAAAATACTCATTATTGTGCTCAAAAGAAATTTTTAATGTGGTAAGATTTGATTACGAACAATCCGTGTTACGAGCAATCATGAAAGAATACGATTTACCGTGATGTATTCTAATAGCTTGTTTTACTTAAAAGGTAATACAGCTTTGTTCTGATCCGATTTTCACAATCAAATTAATGATAATAGGCGATCTATTAATAGTAAATGAGAAAGAATAATAGTAAAAATCGTAACCGCGTGATCTATTAACTGTTAATAGTTTTATTGGTAAAATTATGCGAAAAAATTAATCGCAATCGCGTGATCTTTGTTATTAAAAATTATTTATCGATAAAAAAATTAAATTACTAACTGTATTACAATAACAAAATAAATAAAAAGCGATTATTAATATTTCCATTTTTATTTAACAATTATAACAATTAAAAACAATTATTTAAGAGATTTAAAATTTCCCCCTTTTCGAATATTTGTCAATAATTGTCATACAAATAATTGTGATGATGTTGATAAGCGTTTCCTTATTACCTTGATAAAATCTTTTCGCATATTTTACTGATAAATCAACTTTTTTTTACTTTTTTTTTCACTGTAATCACATCATCTCTGATACATGACGAAGATTAGTTATGCCCGCCTAATTTTACTCGCGCAACGCCTCTTAGTTGCGATTCTTTATTAATAAATACCTATCCTTTCAACAATCCCACCTACATCCTCAAAGACCTGTTCAGCGACCGTTATTTTTACCCAATCCAATAAATACCAGGTCCGATTTAGTCCACTAATGGTGCATAAATTATCATTCAGTATTTTCTCTTAAATTGACGTACTAATTATTCTATATTCTCTTTTTTTTCTTAAAATTGATCAATCAATTATTCTCTATATTTCCCCTTTTCCTTTAAAGATGTTTCGTACTTCAGACGATATTTGGTGGGCAAGGATTTTTGATAGACTTGATGAGTTTTTACATAACTATCCAAAATTACCAAAAAACTCGGTACCAGAAAGCAGGTGGGTGGGTGTATGAGTGTATTACTTTATTAATTAAGTACCACTTAATGTTGACTTTGTATGGAATGCAATTTGTTTTTCAAAATAGGCTCAAAAGTAACTATCAAAGATTATAACACCTTCCATCATCATTACGGATCAAGTGGATACAAGTTTCGGTTTGATTAAACGGTGACAATAATGCTGGCAAAGCGTACATAATTGGTATGGCCTCAGCTGTATATGAATATGTATGTTGTTAGCCGACTTCAAGATTTTTTCAAAGTTCCTAATAATGACGTTGTTGATGGTGCCCCAATAAGTGTCTCTGGACAAATTCGTAAGAGAATCCATTCTAGTTTGCTTCTTTTTATTGAATTTTCAATATCCTTAAAGTCTTTTCATATAGTTTACTATAAGCCCGGTGGAAATGGGATTGAAGCAGCTCCTGATGATGTTGTTAGACCAGATATAGCATTTGTTCCAAGACCTGCCATTTCCGCTGTAATATCTCGTCCTCCCAGTGATACATGTGTATATTCAATTTGATGTTTATTAAATAGTATTTTGTTTTATATGCCTCATGCACGGATAATGTGTGAAGTAGCTTTGGGCCAAAGTGTTGGTGAATTGAAACAAAAGTGCTTATCTTGGATGTAAGAACAATATGTCCGTGCTGCCATTAGTATCAAGATTTTAGATCCAAGACTAAACATACGAGAAACCCACAACTGGTTATTTTTATAGAACAATGACGGTATATCTTACTTACTGTTCAATAATACAAGTTAAATATGTAGTTTCATATCTGATTGGTCTGTTTTTTAAATATTAGGCCAAACTTTACCGTCAAGGAATGCCAGCACAACGGTGGGATTTCGGGAACATTACAAAAAATTCACGTGTTCCTGTCAATGATTCTCCCGGTTACAATGCGCCAAACTTGCCAGCTTTTCAAATCATTATTCCTATAAGTGATTTATTTGGGACCCATTGTCTTCTACCCCACTTGCATATACTCCAGCAATTCCTTCTACTGCAAACATAATTGGTACCAATTTTATTATTGACTTGTACCGGATCCAGCGAATCGCTTTAGAAGCTCAATTTGAAAAAGCTAAAAGCTTGAGGCTCTGAAATGTGGTTATTACAACTTCGTATAAATCATGGTTTACTCTTTTTATTTTACAAACTAATTAATAAATAAAGTTTACATCTGCATCTAATCTTATTGTTAAAGTAGTACATCGTAAAAGTGAATAGGAATGCCCATTTTTTATCTTCAGAATTTTTTTTTTTTTTTGTGCTATATAGTGAATGTATTATGCAGTAAATGACTAGAATAAAAGAGTTATTTTATTAATATGATCGAAGTGATACAGTACATGATGACGTTTCTACGCTAATGTACATGATTAATCTTTCGAAATACCCTTGAACCCGTTGCCTCAGCTCCTACCCTATTTTTCAATAACCCAACAATGATCTCCATCACCCGTTTCACGTTTTTATACAACTTCTTTACTTCCAAACACTTCCTTTAAAACGGAATCAGAAAACCGGATGTTGAGAGGATCTTTGCTCGTCAAGCATGAAATTCCATCTGAAGTATATAAGTTAAAATACTAATCCGTGACCGTTGTAACGATTTCATAAATATAATCGAAGTCATCTTCACACCCGACTTACACTTTCTAATGCACTTTCGCATTGGACGTTTGGACCAAATCCTAAACAAAGCACATGGCTACTTGACGTAGCTTTCCTTCCGTGATGTAAATAAAATTCCTCGAGGACCTTGGTTGCATAGTCAACCGACCAGTACTTTCTTCGCCAACAACTTCAAGCTAGAGCTCTTTATTGGTTATTCTTTTGACGATATGGAGCGAAGAATGGAGAATGACCTATATCCACCTTGTTACTATCAGCAAGTCCCCATATTTCCCAACCTGCACTTTATTTCCCTTACATATTGTTGCAACTCCTCGTTATCGTCTTTGAACGGATAGGTTCCTTAGAGCGCGGAATGGAAAAAAGGGTTAGCTTAGTCCAAGACAAGAATAACTGCACTTAAAACTTACTAGGAGAAATTGGCGAATTGCGTCTATACCGTTACCGCCAATGCTATATTTCGCTACTTCACTCAAGCTTTTGGACGAGAAGAAGGCCTTCAACAACTTCTCCTACACTCCTTGGCAAATTCCGAAAGCCTCTTCGCAGGGTCACCAGGTATTCCACAACTAAGAAACTCCTCCATGCTCGTCTTGAGGAGTTTCTAAAATTTCGAGAACCTTCTCATTAAGTTCCAAGTCCTGTCCCTGCAAAGAACGAGATAAGTTCAACCGGTTTATATTATTTTTTATTTCCTCCACTAGCGTGACCGACTCATTTCTAATTGCTGTAACGGAGGTGGAAGTGTGTTTGGTTACATACATGATGCTTTTTGGCTCGGAATTATGTGTTACGTTCGGAGTAAGACTGTAGATTAAAATTTTTTCTGTGAAAAAACAATCGGGGGATAATATAGGTTTTTTATGTCGCACAGATGTGTCTGGTGATTTTCACCATTGCGTAACTACACGTGACATTTCTCAAAGGACAAAAAAAAAATAAATAAAATAAATCGATATGCGTGTATACAAAATGCGTATTATCACTGAGTTGACTGAACTGCAGTTTGAATCGCCGGTTCTCATCCCTACATCAGATGGTAAAGTTTAACAAAATCTCAACCTTAGTAGTTTTGGGTTCGTTAAACGAGTCTGGTCTCGCAAAATTTTAAGATGGTTATTAATGAAGAATGGGAAAGATGGGAAAATAAAATGGCCCTGGATGGAGATTATTGTATTCATGAACCCAAAAATATTTTGGTAATTATTTGTAGCCACGAACTTGAATAATAAATAACCCTAAACAAATATTTTTTTATTTTTGTTATTTTTGGATACAAGTAACTGCATCAAGCGAAACTATCTATTTGGATTACTGCTGTTATACATGATTAAATAAAAGTCATGGCGGAAAAAAATAAGAAATCGAATCAATGACCAATATTATCAAGCCATTCCGTCGTCACATAATTCCATAAGAAAAAAATATATCTTTTGAGTTAGATGTCTGTATAATACAATAAATCCTGCAATAAAATGAAACTTTTAAAAATCTCATGATTTATTTGATCTCACAGACTCGCATACAGTAACTTTGTTAGTTTTTCAGATAAAAAAATGTGGAGGAGCGAGTGAAATTTATGATTTATCAAATAGGGAGGGACGGAGTACTATATGAATCCTAGGCCATTTAACGCGAGTCCTGGCATCATTGCTTTCACAAATTTTTACGGCTAATTTGTTTCCATCACTAACTACAAGAAATCTCGCATCTCCTAATCTTTTTCTATAAACATGAGATTTCTGAACCAACTAACTCATCTCCAAAATCTATATCATTCCTATTCACATAAACTGGTTTTAGATGAATTCCAAAGCTTTACGGGAGAGCAGTGTAGTAGTGGCATTTTTATCTAAGTTAGGAAAATATACTGAATATCTCATAAAGGTATTGTTGGTAGAAGCTCTAACCACTCATTCTTATTTTTCTCGGACTCCATTTAATACTTAATAACGCAATGTATGTTAGGAATGCACATTTGGCAACATACTATTAATAGTAAAGAATAAACTTACTGGTGGATTCTTTCTTTATGTTCCTCGATCATCTTTTAAGTACATCCGCAAACATTGACATCATGCATATAAGTCCAGTTCTTAGACTCGAAGCTTTTTTATATCGCCGCAAAAAAGATCACATGTCCCTAATCAAAAAATGTTTTATTGTTGTCCAGAAATATAGTTGTCGTCCCAAATGCTAAAGCTGAATAAGCAGATGGGAGGTATTCCACCACATACATATTCTTATTGCCAGAAAGTTGTGCGCCATTTTCCAAAAACGCTTCCATTTCTTGTTCTCCTAAATAACGATGAATCATCAGTCGTAGAAAACCGGAATGCTTCTCTTATTCAGTAAAGAAAATGTCGTCCTTCAAGGTAATTTAGGTAAATTATACCTCTATCGCTACCAATGATACCCAATTCAGACCTCATGCAGAAAATTTCTTTCTTATGTAATCAACCCTAACGATATGAATGATGTGCGGATTATTGTCAAAACATATTCATTTCACATGGATTCTAAATTGCTTAACTACTACTTTAGAACCAAAGCCTCATTACTTTCCAGCTTTAATAAAACATTCACTATTCAAAATGAATTATTATATATTCCGTGCTGTTGAAAGTTAAAACACAAACTCCATATTCGATAATACCTCTCTCAATTTGTATACGAGGATTCGGTTTATCCTTGAGGACCTTGAACTCTTTCACAAGTCTTATAATAGAGTACCACTTCTTATAATTCATATACTTCTTCGATTAGCTCAAGAAAATCTTTACCGATAATTTTTTCTTGCAGAGTATTTATATCGTCGAAGGTTTTATGCACTTTCAAAAAACGAAAGGTCTCGGTGGCGACAGTTTTTTACTACTGTATATTAAAAATAATATTCACTTGTAGACCTGTAGAAGTGGATATAGGCCTTAAACCCGGACAAAAATAGGCTATGTTCCGAAGTTCCGAAAGGATTATTTTGTGGTAAAAAAAAAAAGCTGATGAATATATATGAGAATTGTCCTGTCGTACAACGTCAGTGAATTGCATCATCGTACATATTGAAAAAAAATTCAGATTTGTTAGTTGAAAAGAGGTTAATTAACATTGTTTTTAAAATAGTTAACAAAAAATTATAAAAATCGGACTGAGATTTATTGTTAAATTTACTATAGAATGCGATTTCTTAATTATAAATATAGTAATTTTATATTATAAAGCAAGTTAAAATTATTAAGTATTTTTATTCATCAATTGGAAATAATAATTTTTTAATGCTTCAAATTGGTATGATTGATCAATCCACTCGTACGAAGGAAGTTCTTAAATTTCTTAAGTTGATTTATTATTATTATATTTATTAAAAAAGAATGATTAAATAACAAATTTAATGTTAGAATAATAATAATAATAATAATAATAAAGTCATATGTTGGGATAAAATAGTAAACACTATAATTAATGCACATGCAATTTAATTTATTGTCTTTGAGTAAACGGCTCCTTTTACTTGCAACAAGTAAATTAAGATGATTAGTAACTCTGGTGATAACGTAACTGTAGAAGAGCGTGAAAATTGAAGCATCCCGACATACCGTAAAATCTAGGTTTTTTTATACTGTAATAAATTTATACAGCGTAACGCACAAACGAACGAGATTGAATTTACCGATTTAAAGTTCAGAAATTATGTTAGCAGACAATATATTAATATATTATGTATATTACTCAGCAAAATGTGTAGCTTTAACTTCAATTTTAGCCTCTCGAGAATATTGCGAAACAACACTCTACATGCCAAGCGTATCACAAAAAAAAAAAAATTGCATGATAATTTTTTCTCAGCTATAAGGGGGAAGATGGAGAGTTTTCCAACATAAATAGAACATCGAAATTTTTTTATAACTGAGATTAAATGTAAAAAAAAAATTATCTTGATGACAGATGATATCAAATAATTATTTATAAATCATGTATAAATAAAAATATAATAAAAACGTTTTAAAGGATTTACAAAAGTGCGGAATACATACTAATACATACTAAGATATTCAGTTAATATACAGATTTTTTTTTTTTTCGTCCAATTAAATCATTGATAAAATTTCTTTAAAAAAATTTAAACAAAGAATCTTTTTCTAAATTTAGTATAAACAAATATTATTTTATTTATTTATGGCGTTTAAAAAAAAATGTCTTTTTTTTTTTTCTTTTTTGAAATAATATGCATAGAAACTTCTTAAAATCATTTTTCGTAGTACGAGAATTTTCCATTCGAATGGGAAAATCCGGTTGTTTATTGCTATTTTAAGAAAATTGAAAGTAACATAATTTAAAAATGTCAATCATTTTAAGGAACAAATGACAAAATGATGTAATTCACATTATGAACTTTATTCAGATAAAAATTTATTATCATTTTTATGAATAATTGTTTAATTAACGGCCGCGAACTTGGTCCACTAACTTTCATATAACGTTGAAGAGAGTCGAAAATAAGCAAATTTCTTAAAAGTTGTAAAAAAACTCGATTTTATTAACAACCGATAAATCGACGAATTTTTTTAATAATATTTTATATGTTATTAAATAATACGGTTCAGCATCATGTTCTTCGGTGATAATTTTAACGTGTGTCAACCGCGTAACGGAATTACCGTAAAAGAATCATTGTCAATATTTTCTTATACAGTATTAATAAATTATCTAATCTGATCTATTTGAATAAATAAATGTTCGTATATTAAAATCATATTTTAACGTACAATATATATTTGATATAATTTGATATTTGAGTTTTTCTAATAATAAATTGATAGTTTATATAATTAACGGTTTATCATGAAATCGGGAGATAAATTGTTTTTTATATTATTAAAAAAAATAGAAATGCTCGTATAAATTTTTTTTGTACAATTTCATATAATGATATTGTTTGACATAATAATTCTTCACGTTGTATTGATATATTTTCTTTTATTTGATAATCGATAAATATTCCATGAGAAAGTTCCTACTAAATTATATCGATTTTTGTTCGACTTTGTACTAAATTATGCGACATCATTTTTTCTTTCTTTCTTTCTGAAAAGAAGTGTAATTTTTAAATGATCTAAACGATTATGTTCATATCATTTTACCATACGTTAAAAAAAAAAAAAGTTATATATTTGGCGTACTTTTAATCAAATCCAATAATATTATCTCTTCAACAATATAAAATTTCTCTTATCTATGTCAATCTTCTACTTTAGAATTCTATCCTCGAAGTACTTTTCAAAATAATCAAATGCCAAGAAAAAATGGAAATTTCAACCCTTGATAATCCACAGTAAAAAAAAATTAAAAATTAAACAAAAAAGTATTAGTCCTGAAAATTTATTTTGGTTACAATGCACCTAATGCAGTAATGTATGCGTCAATGGGATGGTTGGATGATCGTACGGGTGACACGTACGATTTTTCAATCGATTTTGATTTTCATCTAATGTATATATAAGCTGCCAAAATTCAAGAAAAAAAAAAATTTCATCATTTCACAACTTCATATAGAAATGAATTCGTGTTGACTATATGATCCCTTATCACTTTTTTCTTTATTACCATTAAATGGTCTTTTACTACGCAAATTCTATAGTTTATTAAATTTAGAAATCCAGATATTTGAGCCACCATGACATCATCTACTAGTAAAAACTTGAATGATGATGATCTTACCATCACGGTGTCTGATAACTACACTCAAAAAGGTGGCCTATCGCAATCTTTGCAACCTCCAATCATATTAGATAACATTCGTCCTCTCTCTCGTGAAAATGTTACAAGGAGATTAGAATCTTATGGCAAGAATATTATCTCAACATATAAACCTCTGACATGGTATCGTATCATTAAAATTGTTGAGATTTGAACAAAATGCGTTGAACAATTTAACGTTTTCATTTATTCTACTTTTATAGGTATATTGTCCTTTACCACTCAACGGTTCATCCATTCAATGTCATTTTGATTTTCCTCGCCATTTTTAGTGGTGCTACGGAGGAGGATTACTCCTCGTTGGTAATCTTATTAATAATGGTTTTTCTGTCCGTTGGAATTCGTTTCGTTCAAGAATATAAGAGTGAAGTTGCAACTCAAGAACTAAAAAAAATGGTTAATAACAATGCAACTGTAATCCGTTTATATTCACCACCTGACAATCGGTAATTATTTTAAGGAAAAAATTAAATAAAATTATTTGAAAGAAAAAACTTTTTTATGATAATATTTTAATTTCTTTTACTATAGTGATCCAAGTTATGAAGATATAGAGATGATGGATCGAGGTGAAACGGTTGAAATGGATATCCCATTAGAAGATATAGTACCAGGTGATTGGGTTAGACTTAGTGCTGGTGATCTAATTCCGGGTGATGTCCAATTGATTTCTTCCAAGGATCTTTTTGTCTCTCAAGCTTCATTAACTGGTGAATCCATTCCAGTTGAAAAATTTACAATTTTACAACAGCAACCTCCTATTATACCTGATTATTTACCAATTAATACAAATAATGCAAAACTAAATTATTCTGAGCTTGATCAACCTAATCTATGTTTCATGGGTACTTCCGTTGTTAGTGGTACTGCAACTGCTGTTGTTCTAAAAACGGGTCCTAATACTTTCTTTGGAGGAATGGCCAAACAACTTTCTGTTAAAAGAACTCCTAATGCTTTTCAAAAAGGTATTCGCCGTGTCAGTTACATGTTTGTTTGCATCATGTTAGCGATGATGCCTCCGGTATTATTGATTCAAGGTTTTTTAAAGGGAGGTTGGAAGGATGCAGTATTGTTTGCTGCTGCTGTTGCAGTTGGTCTCACTCCTGAAATGCTGGTAAATTATTTTATCAAATATTTTATTTTTTATTAAAAGATTTTTATAAGTAATAATAAATGTCTTATTTAATATAGCCAATGATCGTGAATGCAAATCTGGCACGTGGTGCTATTAACTTGTCAAAGAAAAAATGTATCGTAAAGAAACTTGATTCTATTATCAATCTCGGTGGTATAGATATTTTATGTACGGATAAAACGGGTATGTATTAATTGATCATTATTTACATTTATTTTTTTTTAAAAAAAAAAAAATTAAATTTTTAATTTATTTTTTTATTTTTTTTTTTAGGAACCTTAACTTGTAACAAAGTCGTTCTCATAAATCATTTTGACCATTTGGGAAACGTTTCCAAACTTCCTTTGTATCTGGGATATCTTAATAGTTACTTTCAAACTGGACTTAAAAACCTCTTGGACGTGGCTGTTATTGAATATTTTAATAGTGAAAATGTTGATGGAGCTTATATTTCTCAAAATTTTTTCAAAGTTGATGAAATTCCATTCGATTTTGTCAGAAGAAGAATGTCTGTCATCTTAGAATCCAGCAAAGATGATGATTGCCGTTTCTTGATCTCAAAGGGAGCAGTCGATGAAATGTTAACTTGTTGCACTAATATTTATGTTGGTAAGGATAATGTTTCATCGAATGAAATTTTTCCAACAAGTGACATCATTCCTATTACAACTGAAATTCTAAAAAACATGAAGAATTTGAATGAAAGTCTTAATAATGATGGTCTACGAGTTATAGCAGTTGCATTTAAAGATATGAAAAAATGTTCCGAATTTACTGTAGCTCACGAGAGCGAATTGACTTTAGTTGGTGTTTGCGCATTCTTGGATCCACCAAAACCAAGCACTAAACCTGCTCTTCAAGAACTATTTAAATATAATGTGGAGGTTAAAGTACTTACTGGAGACTCACCTGCTGTTTGCCGCAAAGTATGTGAAGAAATTAATCTTCCAGTTAAATCTATTATCACTACTACTGAACTTGAAGGTATTGATGATGCTAAACTAGAAGAAATTGCCGAAAGTGGTACAATATTTGCAAAGTTAACTCCTCTTCAAAAGGCAAATATTGTAAAAGCATTGAAAAGACGTAACCACATTGTTGGCTTTTTGGGTGATGGAATTAATGACGCTCCAGCAATCCGTGAAAGTGATTGTGGTATTAGTGTAGATGAGGGAACAGATATTGCCAAGGAATCTGCGGACATCATTTTACTCGAAAAAAGTCTTATGGTACTTGCTGATGGTATAATCCGTGGAAGAATCACTTATGGCAATACAATCAAGTATATTAAAATGGCAATTTCTTCGAATTTTGGTAATGTCTTTAGCGTTTTAATTGCTTCTGCCTGGCTTCCTTTCCTACCAATGGAAGCACTTCAACTTATATTGCAAAATCTGTTGTATGATCTTTCTCAAATTGCAATTCCATGGGATAGAATGGTAGGTCCATACTTATTTTCGGAGTAAATATGTAAAATTCAGAACTTATTATTAAACTTTCGATTATTGCAGGATCCTGAATTTTTGACTCATCCCAAACGATGGTCTGCAAGAAGTATTGTTAAATTCATGATTTTTACTGGACCTTGGAATAGTATCTTTGACATGACCACATTTGCTTTCATGTTCTACTACTATAAATGCCAAGATCCTCATGATGTTTATAAAGTTCGCCTATTTCGTAAGTAAATCACAGTATTTTGTTTTGGAAGCATCAAATATATTAATTATAATTTTTTTTTTAACCCCAATTACTATTTTATTATATAGAGACGGGTTGGTTTGTTGAAGGGTTGATTACGCAAACATTAATTGTCCATATGATTCGAACTCCCAAATTCCCTTTTTTACAATCAACTGCTTCTTTACCTGTTTGTTTGTCCACCCTTGCTGTCATGAGCGCTGCAATTATAATTCCTTTTACACCATTAAATAAATATCTAGGCATGGTTCCATTACCCGGACTTTATTATTCGTACCTTTTAGGAGTGCTCGTTACCTATTGGTTTCTCACCAGTTTTATTAAGTGGGTATACATTAAACTCTTTAAAGAATGGTTGTAATTTGATGTAATTTTGGAGAGGATTTTTTTTTTAGAATAACAAAGTAATTAGAATTAACAAACTGTATTTCATTTATCTAACTTATATTTATCAAATAAAGAAATTTTTTGTCTGGTTAAATACGTAATATTTTTCACATTTTCACGCTTACTATAAAAATGTAGTGACGCTATAACAATAGTTCTGATTACATATGACTAGGGATGGCAACAGTCACGGTTATTAACCGGTTATGACCGATCGATGACCGACCGTTGGCATCCCTATTTAAAAATAATGTTTTTTTAAAAAAAACTGATACCTTTTTTAGCTTTTTTGTATTTTTTATTTTATTTTTATTATGAAGACATGGAAATAACTTTTTTCAAAGATTACTGGTCAAAATTAAAATTGATACAAATCAAATCACGTGAAGTAATTTTATTGGTCGAATTATTTGTTAGCCGAGTTATTAAGCAAAAAAAAATGGGATCCTTAACGTGTACCCGGGTATATGATATTATCCTATACTCCCCTTTTTCTTAAATATGATTGTCTCAAAATGTGGTTACTATGGTACAATTAATCACTATTAGCCATAAAATTAATGGGATTTTTCTTTTTTAGGATCAGTTCATTGCTGCGATTACTGCTGCGGTATTACGTTAAATAGCTTCAGTTTCCTTTGGCGTCGGAGGATTAGTAATATTAAGTTATTAATAAATTTTTTCTTTCTTTTTCAGTTCCGTCACTCTGGCTGAGAATCGGCTTATTCATTGATAGGTAATTAAATTATACTTAAATTAGTATTATTTCCATATGTATAAATTATTACCTAAACCAAAAGATTTGAAGTTATATTTATTAAAGTCCTACTTTGTTTAAGTATGCATGCTAGAAATTTTTATTATGCAATTGTCAATTCGGATTATACTGTACATAAATCATCATCCAATTTTTCCAAATCTTTATGTAAACAACCGTTATTCGTAAAAAATTGATTTGCAATGGACATGATTTTGTTATAATGAACTGCAATGCAGTGAAATGCGGTGAATGTACAACAGTGCAGTGAAACATAGCATACAATATTTAAAAAAAAAAGTGCCCTTCCTTTTTGGAATGCATCATTTAGGAATTTAAATTTTTTAAATTATAAATAAAATTATTTGTTAATAATGTCAACTTCCACTAATATCAAAGATTCAAGTAATAACATTAATTGGTTAGAAAAATCAGCAGAGAAGGGTGATGAAGGGTCAATGCACAATCTTGCCTTACGATACTATAATGGTGAAGGGACAGAAAAGGACTTGGGAATGGCCTTTCACTGGTTTCAGAAAGCAGTAGAAAAGGGCTATGAAAGGTCAATGCACAGTCTTGCCTTATGTTATGAAAATGGTGATGGGACAGAGAAGGACTTGGAAATGGCCTTTCACTGGTATCAGAAAGCAGCAGAGAAGGGTAATGAAAAGTCAATGCACAATCTTGCTTTACAATACTACTATGGTGAAGGGACAGAGAAGGACTTGGGAATGGCCTTTCACTGGTATCAGAAAGCAGCAGAGAAGGGCTATGAAGGGTCAATGCACAGTCTTGCCTTACGATACTACAATGGTGAAGGGATAGAGAAGGACTTGGGAATGGCCTTTCACTGGTATCAGAAAGCAGAAGAGAAGGGCTATGAAGGATCAATGCATGGTCTTGCCCTACAATACTACAGTGGTGAAGGGACAGAGAAGGACTTGGGAATGGCCTTTCACTGGTATCATAAAGCAGCAGAGAAGGGCTATAAAAGGTCAATGCACAGTCTTGCCTTATGTTATGAAAATGGTGAAGGGACAGAGAAGGACTTGGGAATGGCCTTTCAATGGTATCAGAAAGCGGCAGAGAAGAGCTATGAAAGGTCAATGCATGGTCTTGTCTTATGTTAGTCTCTTATACACATCTAGATGTGTATAAGAGACAGATCGATGACCGACCGTTGGCATCCCTATTTAAAAATAATGTTTTTTTAAAAAAAACTGATACCTTTTTTAGCTTTTTTGTATTTTTTATTTTATTTTTATTATGAAGACATGGAAATAACTTTTTTCAAAGATTACTGGTCAAAATTAAAATTGATACAAATCAAATCACGTGAAGTAATTTTATTGGTCGAATTATTTGTTAGCCGAGTTATTAAGCAAAAAAAAATGGGATCCTTAACGTGTACCCGGGTATATGATATTATCCTATACTCCCCTTTTTCTTAAATATGATTGTCTCAAAATGTGGTTACTATGGTACAATTAATCACTATTAGCCATAAAATTAATGGGATTTTTCTTTTTTAGGATCAGTTCATTGCTGCGATTACTGCTGCGGTATTACGTTAAATAGCTTCAGTTTCCTTTGGCGTCGGAGGATTAGTAATATTAAGTTATTAATAAATTTTTTCTTTCTTTTTCAGTTCCGTCACTCTGGCTGAGAATCGGCTTATTCATTGATAGGTAATTAAATTATACTTAAATTAGTATTATTTCCATATGTATAAATTATTACCTAAACCAAAAGATTTGAAGTTATATTTATTAAAGTCCTACTTTGTTTAAGTATGCATGCTAGAAATTTTTATTATGCAATTGTCAATTCGGATTATACTGTACATAAATCATCATCCAATTTTTCCAAATCTTTATGTAAACAACCGTTATTCGTAAAAAATTGATTTGCAATGGACATGATTTTGTTATAATGAACTGCAATGCAGTGAAATGCGGTGAATGTACAACAGTGCAGTGAAACATAGCATACAATATTTAAAAAAAAAAGTGCCCTTCCTTTTTGGAATGCATCATTTAGGAATTTAAATTTTTTAAATTATAAATAAAATTATTTGTTAATAATGTCAACTTCCACTAATATCAAAGATTCAAGTAATAACATTAATTGGTTAGAAAAATCAGCAGAGAAGGGTGATGAAGGGTCAATGCACAATCTTGCCTTACGATACTATAATGGTGAAGGGACAGAAAAGGACTTGGGAATGGCCTTTCACTGGTTTCAGAAAGCAGTAGAAAAGGGCTATGAAAGGTCAATGCACAGTCTTGCCTTATGTTATGAAAATGGTGATGGGACAGAGAAGGACTTGGAAATGGCCTTTCACTGGTATCAGAAAGCAGCAGAGAAGGGTAATGAAAAGTCAATGCACAATCTTGCTTTACAATACTACTATGGTGAAGGGACAGAGAAGGACTTGGGAATGGCCTTTCAATGGTATCAGAAAGCGGCAGAGAAGAGCTATGAAAGGTCAATGCATGGTCTTGTCTTATGTTATGAAAATGGTGAAGGGATAGAGAAGAATTTGGAAAAAGCATTTTATTGGCACAAAATGGCTCCAGATAATTTTAAAATTAACAACTTATGTAAGGAATGCAATCAATTATATATTGATTACAAATGGTGCCAACAATGTAATATTAAACAATTTCAGCAAGATTTTTCAAAATGGACTAGTAAAAATAAATTTATTGATAAATTTATTCAAGAAGCACAACTAAATGCTAAAAGTAATTATGAAGTTTTAGAATGGATACCTTATAATAAATTAAATAATATTAATTATTATGATAAAGGAGGATTTAGCGAAATTTATAGGGCTATCTGGTTAGATGGACCTATTGATAGTTGGAACTTTGATGAACAACAATGGAATAGATGGACTGAATATGAAGTTATTCTTAAAAATCTTAATAATTCATCAAGTTTAAGTGATAAATTTTTAGATGAGGTATAGTATTTTTACTTATTAGATACTAATTGTATATTTTATTTTATCTTATAAATTAATAATTTTAAATATTTACTATATATAGTGGAAACATCATTATAATTGTCAGAAAAAATCATTTTCAAAATTTATTCAATTCTTTGGAATTTCCCAAGATCCAAATAATTTAAATTATATGATAATAATGAGTTATGCAAAAAAAGGAAGTTTGAAAAAATGTTTATCTAATATAGTTAAATTTAAATGGCAAACTAAATTGCAATTATTAAAAAAAATTATTTTAGGACTTAAAGTAATACATGAATCAGAACTTATTCATTGTGATTTTCATGATGGTAATATCTTAATATCAGATGATTATAATGAAATATATATTATTGATTTAGGATTATGCAAACCTATACAAAATTCTGATGATAAAATTGATGAAGTTTATGGAGTTTTACCCTACATGGCGCCTGAAATATTAAGAAAAGAACCCTATATTCCAGCAAGTGATATTTATAGCTTTTCAATGATAATGTGGGAATTTACATCAGGTATTCCTCCATTTAATAATAAAGCACATGATGTTGAACTTATTTTAAGTATTTGTGAAGGAGATCACCCTGAAATTATAAAAAATACTCCAAAATGTTATATAGATTTGATGAAAAAGTGCTGGGGTTCAGATCCTTCCAAAAGACCAAATATAGTAATTATTGAAAATACTATATCTGAATGGCTTAGAAGTATTAATGAATATTATATATATAATGGTGAAGATGAACAAGATGAACAAAGATATGTCGTTCCTAATATTGATAATCAATTAAAAAATGATATGTATGAATTTATTAATGCAAATAGAGTTTTGACACAAAAACAAGCTAATATTTCTGTTTTACAAACTCATCCACAAGCATATTATGCAAGCCGCTTGCTTACTGAAATTTTATATCAAAATAATTCTGAGTGTTTGGATTGTATAATTTAAATTTAAATATAAATTTTTATAATGACTTTATTTATTGATTCATAAAAACTTTAAACAAATTTTATTTGTAATGATAAAAAAAAAAAAAAATGGATGCAAATTTGTTTAATTAAGTCAATCAAAATATTAACTTAAAAAAATAATCTGTAATGATGTAATGATATCAGGATTCCTTATCAATTTGTATAAAAGAATGAAAACAAAATAAACAATTAGAAAATGTATTTATTAAATATTCCAGATATACAGTAAGTATACATTATTAAAAAATCATGAATAATGAGGTGGTTTTAACACAATGAGATATTTATTAAAAAAAAAATTTTTTGTTAAAAATATAGTCACCAAATAATCCCTAGTTATTCTTAAAATCTTCAATATGACTTTCAACTAATTCATTATATAATTCATTATTATTATTGATATTTTCTGAATCTTGTTTAATATATCCAATTCTTCATAATAATACTTTTATAATAATTAATTTGAAAATAATATGAAAAAGAAAATTCAAGATCATTACTTATTGGACATGTCATCATAGAAAAATTTGGTTCAAATAAATTATCAATATCATCAATATTAACTATTTATCCATAAATGATTGTTTCCCCTGTTTCCATAAATTGAAGATTTTGTTCTTCATTTCAATCCATTATTTTTATCATTAAAAAATTTTTCAACCTCTGGTAAATTTTCAAACTGAATATAAAATTTTAGCAATTGTTTGACTAATGATGTTTTTTTGTGTAATTTGTAAAGCTAACGAATTTTAATATATAATTTTGAATCGGTGACTGATTGATGCCTGATTTTTCACTTTTCGACCTGTGGAACCTTTACTTTCTTTTTCAATTTCAAATTATGGATAACAATTTTATTAATGAAGAAGACACTATTTATGAAGAAAACCTTATTTTAGAGATAACTTAATATGATTTTAGAAATATTACAACTATAATATAATAAAAAAATTCATAAAACATACAATATACCCAATAGAGGGTGAGACCAAGGACCCATAATTCGCAATGTTCAGTCTAACAAACATAAAGGTAATTAAAATTACGACTTTATTTAATTATGATTTATTTTATTAATTTTTTTTATACATTAGCTAATGCACAGGTTAAAAAATCAAACATTACAAAATCAACTGTGAAATGTAGACGCGCAAATTCTAACAAGAAAACCAAAACAATTGTCACAATTTCTGATTCCGATGATAATTGTGATGATAATAATAATAAAGAAAATTTAACTTAAATTTCAATGAGCTTGAATATCAAGAGAGGGAACTAGCTCTAAAAGAACGTGAAATTTTATTAAGAGAATGTGAAGCAAAAGTTCATGTAATGGAACTGTCCAACCTTGAGAAGGAGCAGGAGTTAAAGTTACATTAGAAGTTAGAATAGTTTTATTGAAGTTAGAATAGCTTTATCAATAGTAAATTATAAAAGTAAAAATTTTCATTAATTAAATAAAAATGAAATCCGCATTTTATACTGCAAATTAATTAACACAATCAATACATGTTTTAAATGTTACATACATACAACGGAGTATAGTAAATTTCATACACTATACTCAACATCAGTTATTACGTCATACAATACTCAATAGACAACCAATACTATACTACTATTCGTCTTACCTATATCCAATTGGGTGTCCAATTAGAAGTCTATTCAATCAATAGTCCAACAGAGACATTGATGCAAATCGATAGTACTTAAGGTATAACGTATACTAATTTTCGTATTTAAAATAATGAATTTATTGTATACAATTTCCAAAAAAAATAATTTTACAATTTTCAAATTTTAAAAAAATTGAAAAATTGAAATTTGTTAGAATAATTCAAGCAAATTTAGCAAATTCATAATGTCGACCATCGACCGAAATTAAGATTTGTCCTAATGATGGTTTATACAATACTAAGAAACGAAAAAATTCCAAATTAAAAACAATTCAAAAGGGTAGTAAATATATAATTATTCTTTTTTTAATATTTAATATTGATATATCTTTAATACAATAGTAAAAAAACTAATCGATTATAATCGTTTAACGTGATTTAATCATAGCGATCAATAATTATTAGTTAACAATAACGTAATGTAAAGTCACTAGGTATCACATTTTTAGAGAATATAAGATGAGTATAACGTTTTTTAACGTGAATCAACTGCAAAAAAATTCATAAATGATTTCGGTGCAAATTTATTGTCGGTCATTAGTAATTTTTTTCTGATACCCGATTTAAATAATGCTCTTACGTGAACTCAACATATTTTAATACATAATATATAATATTTATCCCAAAATTTCAAATAGTTTGTTTTTTACAATAAATTTTTCACATAATTTTTTACTTTTATTTGACGCCACGCCAGATTCCCATTTTCTGCAGATCGTTTAGATCGTTTGCAGTTTTGACTCGTGGATCACGAATAAAACAAAAAATATGTGAACCTCAAATGTCAGTGTTAAAAGTTATAAAATAAAAAATAAACAACTAAATCTCATGTTAAAAAAAAAAAATTTGTTTTATTAGAAAAGATAGAATTAAATTTACTCATTTGAAATTTCCTCGAATTAGAAGTTGGGAACTACTTTAATATCATATTTTATTTTGAGTTTAAAAAAATTTTTTTTTTTAAAAAACTTACAATCTTTTAAGTAATTAATAGAAGAATTTTTAACTAGGAAAACGGTAATCATTAAAGTAGTATTAAAGTCCGTCACATTTTATATTTACTTGGGATCATTTTTTTATTATAAAATTAAACATAAAAAAAAATTGATTATGAAAAATAGCAAATTATCAGTGTTACAAAAAAAAGGAATATGATTGAATCATTGAAAGGATATTTTTTAAAACATTCATATAGAAAATCATTGTTTAAATTATACCTCGTTTTCTTATTGTTCTCCGCTTTTTAACTTATTGAGGCTTACGTTTCACGTGTTTTTTTTTGAATTTATGAGAACGCCTTAAAATTTGAGATATTTTCCGTTAAAAAAATTCTAAAATGTTTTTTAAAAATATGATAATTTTTATTTAAGTTAAAATTAATAAAATTTAAATGAATATACGATGTGATAACCCAGAAATAGTAAATAAAAAAAAAATGTCTTTCTTATATAGATGTATTTGAAAAATATTCATAAATGATCATTTTCAAGAAAACACGTGCATGGTGATGGCCCAAAATATAATTATGTTGGTCTTTTATCTACTGAGAGATTATCTTTTAAATTGTGAAAGTATAGTTGGCGCACAAATCAGTTGAAGGATGAGGAACAAACCAAATAGTTTAAATAAGGTTTAGGATATAAAAGGAGAATATTATTTTGAATATAAAAAAAGAGCCGATTTTCATGTTCAAAATTTGGCTATAATAAATCGTGAAACGACTGTACAAATCAGGCGTATTCAAATCACGTGATACCGGATAAATCACTTATTCGGCATTTCGTGCGAATAACTATTAATTATCACACAGTAATATTATTTTATATGATCGGCGTGAAATCGCGCAACTGGCTAAAATTGATTCTCTACTTGCTGCTTGCTGGAACAATTATATCTGCTCATTATGAAAGTTATGATAATCCTCCTGCCTTTAACCGAAAATATTTTTATTCCAAACAACTTTTTTACTGAGAAAAAATGATTAATTAATATTAATATTATTATTGGTAGAATCGCCCCGAAATTGACCATATCGTAAATTTATGCATTTAAGATTCTCTGCTTGATCAATTACTAACACCACGTGTCAAAGCAAGCAACAAATTGAAATATTCTGATTTTGAATAATCATTTTTTTCCTAATAAAAGAAAATCTCAAAATGGTAAGTAATTTTATTTCCACAAAAAGCATGACCAGTAAGTATGATAAGCTAGTTTAATAGTTTATTGATTTTTATTGGTTTGCTATTATTATAATACATCTTAATACACTCACGTTCAGTTTTTACTAATATTTATAACTACATTACAATTAGTGATACGAACTTTCATTCCTTCAGGAGTCACGAAGAAAAAAAAAGGTTCGTCAAGCTGACAAATACGCAAATACACAAAAGTCTAAAATAGTTTATTTTATATGGTGAACTATATTTCCGTGTCCAGGATGATAAAAAAGTTATACGTAGTAAACAAATGTCTGAAAAACCAGTGGATTAGGTTCATTTCTAAAAATGATTGAATATTTATAAATCGCGCCATATCATACCATTATAACCAATCAAATATTCTTTAACTAATCAATATTCTTTTATAAAGTCATAAATTTTAATATTTAAATCACTATGTCTTCGAACTTTAATATCATGTAACTCCAATTCCCTCACTTCGTCTTTCAAATCAAACAATTCTTTCTTATCATCCTTAATAGCTAAACACTTGACTCTTTTTTTCTTCATAATATAATAGTCCTTTATGTTATGTAAAATATCATCATTACCAAATTGTAGTATTAACAACATATTAATTAAACTATATTGAGAATTTTCTAAGAATACTCCAAAATCCCTTTCTTCAATAGTTAATTCCAAACTTATGTAATCTAATTTAGAAGGGAGAATTTGTCCTAGATTTTTTAATATGATTGAACTATTAATTGGTGAATATATATTGATTGAAAGATAATTGAGACTTTGATTAATATTTTCAATTATCCTGATTTTTTGATAAGTAGAACTACTACTTTCATGCCCAACAAAATAAAGAAAATTGATATTATTATATTTTAATAATCGTGATATATCATGATTATAATAATTCATTTTACACCCACCGAAATTTTCTAAATAATCACCAGATTTTAATAATAATTGTTGTAATGATTCAAATTGTGGTACCTCATTTAAAATTAAAGATTTTAATTTAAATGGTTTAGTTAAATTATTAATTTGTTGAATAAAATTACTATTCAAAAATGAACAATAAATAATATGAATAGATTCTAAAACATTTAATTGTTCAAATATTTTATCAAGATTATTCACTAATTCAAATTTGATTTGATATAAAACTATTGTATTTAAAGTATTTGAACAATTATAATCTTTTGATAATAATAATGTTTGATATAAAGATATTAAATAATCGCTACTTAAATTAATTAAGAAAATTTTCTTAAGATTTTGATGTGAATGAATTATTTGTGATATATGATTATTAATTATCGTATTTTCTTCATAATTGTTAATATAAAGTTTCATATTTATAACGTTTTGAATAAAATTTTGATTTTGTAAAATTAATTCAAGATTATTATCAAGATATGTATCACAATAACTACCTGAAATTTCAATTTCAAGAGTATTTAAATTTACTTCATTTTCAATAAAAATTTTAAATAATGACATATGAACTAATCTCTTAAAATTTTCAGTATCATATAATATATTTTCGGGTTTCAAATTATTAATAGCAATACTTATCCATGTTTCAACAAAGAAGATAAATTTATGTGTATTCAAATATTTTAAAAATTTAAGATAATCAAATAACAACATATTCTTTGAAGGTAATGAATTATTAATAATTTTATATTCATATAATTTCATTTTAAATTCATCATTTAAATTATTCAAGTAAATTTCAATAATATTAATAATTTTATGACTTTTGTTAGGAATAGGAATCAAAAATGGATTTTCCCATAATAATGGAATTGCTAAACGACACCATAATCTGTTTACTAAAATACATGAATATAAAGTTGAAATATCTTTCTGAAAATATTTTATAACATCATATGTTAATTCAGGTAAATCTCCTGAAAATATTTTTGAACATGACATATTTGTAATTTTGAAAAGTGAAAAGGTGAAAAGTATCAAAAATTTTTATTAGATTTTCGGAGCAATGATTCCGATATTCATACAATTAATGTTGGCTAATTATGTGTAACATGTTTCAATAATTAGGCGCAACTTTAACTAATTATAGCGGCATAAAGGATTTAATCAAGTTTTTGTGTGACAGTACATGTAACTTCAATCGAATTATTTTATAACGCTAGCCGGATTATATGATCGGCATATAAATCCGCTTTTTTTGTTTAATGTCACGACATCACGACGTCTCGTCATCACGTAATAAATGACCAATGGAAGTAAGGTTACACAATTAGAATTTATTTATATAGATGATCTAAACGTAACACAAATATTTTTTAAAATTTCAAAGAATTATAGTTCCAGACAGGAATTGAAAATGGCATAATAATGGAATCGCTAAATGATATCATAATCTATTGACTAAAATGCATGTATGTAAAGTTGAAAATCATTCTGAAAAATTTTATGATTCCACAAGTTAATTCGGGCAAATCATCTGAAAATATTTTTAAGTATAATATTGTAATAATAAGCGATAAGAGAAGTATTTGTATCACATTTATTATTTTCTAAATGATGATCTCTTACAGTCGTAAGTCTGTAGGTGATTAATAATTATTTACATACTAGTAATGAATCGTTATTACTGATAATAGTTACTTTAAAGCTCTGAACGAGTCAAGTTGAACTGAGTTAAGTACTTGATTATATCAATCAGTGATATAAAATTTGATAAAAAAAGATATTATCATGATTGATTTTAAAGTTATTTATTATTCAAAATCTGTGAGGGTGATAAAACCGTAGGTGAACTTCCTAACTCCTTATGTTATCAGAATTAATAATATATTCATATACTGTATTACTCGCTTATATACTCACTATATATTTTCACATTCTTTATCTTTAATTTACAATGTTATTATTTTATTGAAAGAAGTTTAAAATAGTTTCTTTGTTGGTCAACATTCCAACATAAGTTGTTTTTATTCCCAAAAAAATTCATGGCATAATTTTTAGGCATTACATGATTTATTGTAAGTATGCAAAATCTGAAGAACTTCACATATTTTTATATAGTTCTGGATTCTTCATGGAATTTATAATCTTATAATTATTCCACTTACTTAAATTTTACCTATAATATAGCGGGTTCATGTATGAAGATACGTAATACCGTCTAGCACTGTATATAGTACCTGGGTCTTATACAAAAAATCTGGTTCAAAAATTGAAGAATACCCCCATAAAAAAATTGGATACGTTTTTTATAAAGTTTATAATATATTATATATGATTTTTTTCCTTAGACATAATATATCATAATAGGATACAGAAAAATGCACAATTCCATATAACTAAAAATATGGTTTGGATATGGAATTTGCATGGGATTCATATGGAATTTACATGATTTGATCACTGATTTTATCACGAAATTTATACGACTTGGTCACTGAATTTACTATTTGTATTACAGTTTACTATAATTGTATTTCCATAAATCTAATTTTACTTTATTAAATTATTGCTGTTTTCTAATTAGTGCTCTACATGAGCCAAGCCAGCTCGTGAGCTTTTAAGCTGAGCCAAGCCAAGTCAAACCAAGCTGCAGTTATAGCTTGGCTTGGTGTTGGCTTGGCTCGATTTATTGAAAATTAAAACTAAAGTTTCAAAACGTGATAACTTCGCCAATATTGCTCCAAATTTAATGAATTTACTACCATTCGATTTCTCTTGATAAGACGAATCTAATGGTAGTAAAATCATTAAATTTGGAGCAATATTGGCGAAGTTATCACGTTTTGAAACTTTAGTTTTAATAAATTTTATATGATTTTGAAAATGAGCCAGCTTGTGAGCTTTTGGAACAAGCCAAGCTGAGCCAAGAGCTGGCTCATGTAGAGCTTTATTTCTAATTACTGTGATCTAGCATTTTTTAATAAAAAAAAAATTTTTTGAAAAACATGTGAAAATAAAAATTTTATTGCATTTTCAAATAAAGGAGGTATGATTATAAGCTAAAAATTATAATTTTAAGAAAAAATTTTCAATCTTTAAATAAGTTTGCTTATAAATAACTAGAATATGTGATTTGCTGGGGGACTTCGTCCCCCAAACATAACATTTATAATTAAAAAAATTCTTTGATATAAATAAATTGAATTGTATGTAAAATCACTAAAATATTACTGAATAATAAAATTTTATTATAATTAGACCTTATAAAAAATCATGTTTTTAATAAGGTTTTATCCAATTTTTTCTTAAAAATAATGTTTCTAATCTATATAGGAATACGGAAAATGCACAATTCCATATTACAAAATGCATCATTTGCATGATTTGACCATAATTTATGCTGAATTTATATTGATTTGATCACAAAAATTACATAATTTAAGCATAGAATTTACATGATTTGGTTAATGAATTTACTGCTTAAATTACAATTATTAATATTAGTTGCATTTATATGAATTTTATTTTAATAATATTTTATTAAATTATTAAATCAAATATAAAAATAAAAAAAATCCTTAGTATCAATGTGATTATAATTAGCCAATAATATAAATTAATTCTTATGATTTAAAATAATGATGTAAGTTGTAATAAGTGTTTTAAAGTTAATACAGCTAC